TTTTATAGATCTTAGATTAAAAAAGGGGTTGGGGTGGGGGGGGGGGATCAGACCCAGAGAGGAGCAGCTGGCAACACTTCATGAACAAGGCCCCGTCCGAGGATCTCCAGAACCTGGTGGCCTGTCAGCTTGACCACGATATCTACTTCTACACGGTCAGACCCATTGAGGCCAACAGCGAGCTGCTGTTCGGCTTCTCCGAGGAGTATTCCCAACATTGGATTCACTACACGGAGGTATACATGAGTGTATTTCTCTTGTGTCGTTCCGTGCTTGGTAACGTAGTACTCTCTCACACACACGCGCACACACACACACACACACACACACACACACACATTTAAGATCATCATCATCACCACCACCATCATGAGCAGCACTACAATCGTCACTATCACCATCATATTCATTATCTTCATCATCATCATTATCATCTCGGTTGATCGTTATACGTCCCATAGGGCTCGCAGTCTGTTTCTCCATTCCGTTCTTTCAGGTAGTCCTTTCGATTTCATTGACGGATAGTCGCAGTGTGGCATAGGAAGGGGTGAGCGGGAGTTGTGTGCTGGCCGCACCGGGTGTCATCACTAAAGGGTGGGGGTGACAAAAAAGGCAACAAGTATGTATTTTTCACAAAGAGATATCTGTGTGAGAGGGGTTTTTTTTTTTTTCTTCTTTTCTTTTGCAACACCAGCTGTAAACTCTGGAGGAAAGTTCGTGCTGTTCTGCCACTTCTCAACTCTAGTCCTCTTTCAGAACCTGGGTATTACGTGCAGTTTTACATATCTGATTCATGTGTAAGCAGAGTTATGTCTTCTTGCCTCTCACGCAGATGCACACCGACTTCGAAGGAAGTTCCCAGTAAGTCGATTCTTACGACATGTTTTTGAGTAGGTAGTTTGTCTATTTCGTCCCCGCCCCTTTTCCACACACACAATGGGGCCCCAGAACCCACACGAGGATACAGTTTATGTGAGTGGTGTTTCCTTAACGGCAAATTTTCCGCAATAATAAAACACCCCTCAAGGATTATCGTGATTACAGTGGTACTTTGGTATACTTCCCTAATTGATTCCAGATCCTTGGACATATACCCAACCGTGCATATACCCACCAGTTTATTTACCCAACCGTATATATACCCAACATTACATTTAACCAACTGTACATATACCCAACAAATGTGTCCCTAAGAAATAAAGGGAGCCTGATTAATCCGTTACAACTGGGCAAAAATAAATGAAAATTAAACGTAATTTTCTCTTAAAGTTTTTGACATCCATCCACTTGGCAAACATTTCCTTGATTAACATGAAAGGTAACGGAAACCCCGTTCAACAGTTAGGTTATATTAAAGCCGCCGGCAAGATGGACGATGGTTTTTTTTTTTTTTTTCAACATTCTTTTGCTAATTGCGTACACAAATACAAACAGAAAGGAAACAGTCCCATTAATAAGTTCGTGGTTGACGCAGAACTAAAAAAAAAAAAAACATTAGAAACAAATCCATAAACACGAAGTCCATTAACCGACATGGTCTGATCCGACCAAACTCAGACATCCTCACCGATAAGTTATCATCTGTCTGATAAGATATGAAACCGAGACTAAACAAAAACCTAGAGTCACTAGTTATTGGTGATACATCATTCTAGGATTTGACTGCTGCTGTAAATCAATTGATTGATCATTGATACATCACTCGTGGATTTCGCAGTTGTAAGTGAATTGATTCATCATTTGTGCATCATTCTTGGATTTTGCTGCTGTTGTAAATCAATGGATTAATCATTGATACACCATTATTGGACTTAGTAGTTTAAGTCAATTGATTCATTATTGGTGCATCATTTGTGGATTTGGCTGTAGTTGTGAATCAGTTGATTAATCATTGATACACTACGTCGTGTTTTGGGTTTGGCATTTGTTACAAGCAGGTTGATTGATAAAATTATGTGAATAAGTGTACAGTGTTTGTGTCAAGTTTAAACTATATTTAGTCACATACACTTTCTCCCCGAGTTACGATCTATGTGACTTATGATCGTCCGCACTGACGACCATAAAAATAAAGATAACTACATTGGTAGGGTAACAGAAAGGGTACTGGAGTTGATGCCTAGAGTATCTATAGATGCCTATCTACAATAAGTATACGCACATAGATTTAATTTTTGCGTTCTATGTACAATTTGTAGAACCTATGAGAGGGGAAAAAAAAAGTCGGAATAAAAAATACATTCGGTTTACGACCAGTTCGACTTATGACTTGTCAGTCGGAACAAAACTCGGTCGTAAGTCGAGGAGAAACTAATAGCGAAATTTAAAACGAATATGCTAAATTTATAAAACTTGTAGATTTACTGTCAATATGTTTTATTCTTATTTACCAAACAAATTGCACTTATTTATGTATGCAATATCACCCTCATCCCCATCGTCAAAATCAATATCAGTATAAACATAATTATCACATAGTACTATCGTGCTATTATACGTCGTACAGGTACAGCAGACTATTCATCTTTTATGTTCCCTTTCTGTGCAATACTTCTAATGTCATAGATGTAATTTAGTATACCACCCGGTCTCCCTCAGCTTTGTTCATCTCAGGGTATCTCTTGTCCGCCCTGGTTTCCTGTCCATTTTTTCTCTCCATTTCATGGCTGTAACACCACCAACGGATGGCACAATTAGGAACGCGTGACAAAATCAGATCCAAACCTGCATAGACACGACCTGGGCGGCCAGATAGACATAAAATAAAGCACCAAACACTACGCAATGAAATAGCAACACACTTTGTTGCCATAATTATAACCGATATTGACAAGATCGAGGCTAACTCCTTAGTCACAGGCTGAACGTGGCTAATTGAAATCAAATGAAACGAACCGAGGAACAGTGCATGTTTAAGGATTCTCTGTTGGCTTCTCCCCATGGTGTGCCCGATATAACATCAACCTGTGCTCATCATTGTTAATACTAGCGATTGTTAAGACATTTGTCTTATTTAGATGCCTTTAATTAATTGTCCATCAATTTCTTAAGACATTTGGTAGTGCAGTATGTCTCTAGTTTGATAGCAGACAGTACATTACATCACGGAAAGGTTAACCGTGGGAACCTGCAGAAGTTGGATGTGTCGGCCGAAAGGCACAAATTTCTATGCTTAAATGGGCATAACACATCTATTTTTTTGGATAAACACTGAAGACGACGGCGAGATATAAGAAGAATAAGAAGGAGAGAGAAGAAGGAAGAAGATAGGAAGTAAGATAAGCAAGAAGAGAAGAAGCAAGGCGACACGAAGAAGAAAAAGAAGAAGAAGAAGAAGAAAAGAAAGAAGAAGAAGAAGAAGAAGAAGAAGAAGAGAAGAAGAAGAAGAAGAAGAAGAAGAAGAAAGAAGAAGAAGAAGAAGAAGAAGAAGAAGAAGAAGAAGAAGAAGAAGAAGAAAGAAGAAGAAGAAGAAGAAAGAAGAAGAAGAAGATAGAAGAAGAAAGAAGAAGAAGAAGGAAGAGAAGAAGAAGAAGAAGAAAGAAGAAGAAGAAGAAAGAAGAAGAAGAAGAAGAAGAAGAAAGAAGAAAAGAAGAAGAAGAAGAAGAAGAATAAGAAGAAGAAGAAGAAGAAGAAGAAGAAAAGAAGAAGAAGAAATAAGACGACAGAAGAAGACAAGCAGAAGATAAGAAGATAGAAGAAGAAGAAGAAAGAAGAGAAAGAATGAAAAGAAGAAAGAAGAAAGAAGGAAGAAGAAGAAGAAGAAGAAGAAGAAGAAGAAGAAGAAGAAGAAGAAGAAGAAGAAGAAGAAGAAGAAGAAGAAGAAGAAAAAGAAGAAGAGCACCAACAACAAGATGATAATGAGGATGATGATGATGAGGGTGATAAGGATAAAGTCTACATTGGTGTCTGCCGCGGTTCCTTTGAAGGGTTTTTGTGTCTTTAAATACTACCTTTAGTGGCAGATCTGCTGTCCCAGTATAGAAGTGACCATAACATGTAATATGTCAAGACGATTATTGGGATAGAGCGTTTGTATCAGATTTTGTGATCTTGTTTATGAAACTAAATCGCAAAAAAAAAAAAAAAAAAAAAAAAAAAAAAAACATTTATGTTCTTTAATGGCTAAAGTTAACAAAGGAAGAATATGGATATGGCTTGCACATGTTTGTTGAACGCTAGTGACAATTCCAATTCCAATTCCTTTTAGGAAAAAATCAAAAACAACCACGTTCAACTTGCTGCTAGCTAACCGAAGCTGCCAACAGTCTCCGGCTATATTTGTGGGCTTGTTTATTTGCGCCACTTTCGTGGCTAAAGTTCTGATATTTGAGCACTCTCTGGGCTTAATGCTTCTGTCCTCCAAGTCAGACCACTCATTCCCTATCCTGTTATCAACTGTGTTCTTCTTGTACTTTCATTTCTGATGTTTCCTCCTTGGTTTCAGCTCCTTTTGATTTAGCCTGGAGTATTTCGTAGGATTTCGTTGATAAGAAAGATATAATCAAAAGATGGACTGAAAACACAGAAGACCTGTTTTGGGACAACAGAGGTGACAAACCGCCAATCCATAATATCCAAGAGGGGCCAAACATATTAAAGTCTGAAGTAGAGAAAGCCATTAAACAGATGAAGCAGGGAAAAACTGCAGGTCCAGACAACATAACCGCAGAAATGTTAAAATCATTATCTACTTTTGGAATTGATACTATCACAGAAATATGCAATGACATATATAATAACTATGGGTACATTCCCAGGGACTTGAAAACATCCGTTTTTATCACACTACCCAAGAAACCAAAAGCTGTTGATTGTGAAGATTACAGAACTATTAGCCTAATGAGTCACGTAACTAAGTTACTCTTGAAGCTAATACAAGCAAGAATTCAAAATAAAATAGAGAAAGAAGTTTCTGAAGAGCAATTTGGATTCCGTAAAAACAGTGGTACTCGAGAGGCCATAATTTGTCTAAAGATGCTGATTAAAAAATATATAGAAGTTCAGAAAAATATTTATGCATGTTTTATAGATTACAAAAAAGCTTTCGACAGAGTGCAACATGAACAACTAATTGCAGCTCTTCAAAACATAGGACTAGATGGAAAGGATATCAGACTTATAATGGGAGAAGGAAGCAACAGTAAGATATGACTTACTGGGTATATTTGGGCTAGACTTACTGGGTATATTTGGGCTAGACTTACTGGGTATATTTGGGCTAGACTTACTGGGTATATTTGGGCTAGACTTACTGGGTATATTTGGGCTAGACTTAGGGCTAGACTTACTGGGTATATTTGGGCTAGACTTACTGGGTATATTTGGGCTAGACTTACTGGGTATATTTGGGCTAGACTTACTGGGTATATTTGGGCTAGACTTACTGGGTATATTTGGGCTAGACTTACTGGGTATATTTGGGCTAGACTTACTGGGTATATTTGGGCTAGACTTACTGGGTATATTTGGGCTAGACTTACTGGGTATATTTGGGCTAGACTTACTGGGTATATTAGGGCTAGACTTACTGGGTAAATTTGGGCTAGACTTATCTATTACAGACCGAAAAAGACCAATAGTCAGTTTGCGGGTGATGTGGTCGGTATCACACCGCTAGCCTGTACTTCTCACGACTTTATCTGGTACCAGTTTAAGGCTGATCTGGTCCTTTTTTTTTTTTTTTTGAAAAAACGAGCAAAGTCAGGCTCCGTCAGGACTTGAACAAACGACCTTCTGATCCGCGGGCGAGCGTCTAGCCGCCACATCACAGAGGTTTCCATGATTGGCAGTACAGGGGACAAAAAGCTGGGAACAAACACAATGAACGATACTTTACAAGGACTATAAGAATGAGATTCAATGAATTTATTTATATCATTTTTAACTCTCTTTCCGGTGAATATTACTTTTTTTTTTCTTTTTCAGAAAAGAGAACAATAAGAGAATCCTTACGATCATGTAAAGAAGAATCAAAAAGTCCCCAAGCACCTGGTCACACAACCTCACGCCACTCTCCGTCCAGCCAGACGCCATTCGAATCACCACCACGTCTCACAGATTCAGCTCACCAAATTTCGAGGTGCACGCCTTCGCCATCTTTCAGCCCTTCTGAAGCTTCGACTTCCTTTGCTGCTAATCTTTCTGGCACTCCTCGGACGTCATCATTGCAGACACATCCTACCTTCATGCCACCATTCCATTTAAAACACAATTTCGACCCTCCCTCGGGACACCTACCCAACATTCACCCGCCAGTTCTCACGAAAGATGCGGTTAGTTACCAATCACGAGAGTCTCCATCTATTCTGGACTTCAGTATACACCGGAAGGAATCCTACAGTCATATCAGCGATGCTATCAAAACTGAAGCAACATCCCCCACGAATCAAGTTTACCGACGGGTAGACCAGAACTTGTCAGTTTGGTCCCTGCTGAATTTACCTTCACCCACGCTAGTCAATAAAGTTTCTAGGCATGAACGTGCGTACCTTGAATTGGATCATGGGTCACCGAGAGTGGGTCAGCTTGCAACAGAATTGGAGTTCTTTCCAGGAGTGGCAACATCCCCGGGAGATTTTAGATATGTAAGTAATCCTTGTGTTTTAAGAGAAAGCAGCTGCATTAAATATAAAATATACAGATAGTCGAACATAGGGACAGAGATACGTAGATGGCCATTAAAACAGAAAGACAGATAGACGAGAGACGGGCAAATAATAGTAGCAGAAGAAGCAGCAGCAGCAAACAGCACCACTAGCATCAGCAGCAGTAGTAGCAGCAGCAGTAGTAGTAGTAGTAGTAGTAGTAGTAGTAGTAGTAGTAGTAGTAGTAGTAGTAGTAGTAGTAGTAGTAGTAGTAGTAGTAGTAGTAGTAGTAGTAGTAGTAGTAGTAGTAGTAGTAGTAGTAGTGATTTGTTTGTTTTAATATCCAGAAGCCATGAGTTGTTAATCCTTAGGCTCGGTATTATGGATATCACAACCTTTCGGCCTTGATTCCATTGTAAATACCGTAAGTCTGGGAGAAATGTGGCTTTTCTGCCTACCCCCGGGAAGTGAACCCGGACCACAAGGAGTTCGTCACCTGATCACCGCGCAATCCGGTTTAGCCAACTACGCTAGTAGTAGTAGTAGTAGTAGTAGTAGTAGTAGTAGTAGTAGTAGTAGTAGTAGTAGTAGTAGTAGTAGTAGTAGTAGTAGTAGTAGTAGTAGTAGTAGTAGTAGTAGTAGTAGTAGTAGTAGTAGTAGCAGCAGCATTATTATTAGTAGTAGTAGTAGTAGTAGTAGTAGTAGTAGTAGTAGTAGTAGTAGTAGTAGTAGTAGTAGTAGTAGTAGTAGTAGTAGTAGTAGTAGTAGTAGTAGTAGTAGTAGTAGTAGTAGTAGTAGCAGCAGCAGCAGTAGTAGTAGTAGTAGTAGTAGCAGCAGCGGTAGTTAGTAGAGTGGACGCAGAAGCGAGATTTTGTATTGAGAAATTGGTGTTGTAATTATCCTGGTAAAGCAGAATACACTGTACTCTCATACAGAGTTCGTCACCTGATCACCGCGCAATCCGGTTTAGCCAACTACGCTAGTAGTAGTAGTAGTAGTAGTAGTAGTAGTAGTAGTAGTAGTAGTAGTAGTAGTAGTAGTAGTAGTAGTAGTAGTAGTAGTAGTAGTAGTAGTAGTAGTAGTAGTAGTAGTAGTAGTCGTAGCAGCAGTAGTAGTAGTAGTAGTAGCAGCAGCAGTAGTTAGTAGAGTGGACGCAGAAGCGAGATTTTGTATGAGAAATAATTATCCTGGTAAAGCAGAATACACTGTACTCTCATACAGAGTTCGTCACCTGATCACCGCGCAATCCGGTTTAGCCAACTACGCTAGTAGTAGTAGTAGTAGTAGTAGTAGTAGTAGTAGTAGTAGTAGTAGTAGTAGTAGTAGTAGTAGTAGTAGTAGTAGTAGTAGTAGTAGTAGTAGTAGTAGTAGCAGCAGCAGCAGCAGTAGTAGTAGTAGTAGTAGCAGCAGCAGTAGTTAGTAGAGTGGACGCAGAAGCGAGATTTTGTATTGAGAAATTGGTGTTGTAATTATCCTGGTGAAGCAGAATACACTGTACTCTCATACACACAAACACACACAACACATACAACTTCTGAAGATGATATTTACTGCTACAGTAATTAGAAAAGAGTACAGAAGTTTAATGTGGATTTTTTCACTTACAGACTCGTGATCGATCCAGAAGTCCTGTGCCAAGACGCGAACCGCCAGCAGCTCACGCAGGAGACACATTCTTCTCTCACCACCCAGCAGTAAAACGAATCTCCAAGAGTCACGAGACAAGTTCACCCGGAGCCATCAACAATCACACCTATGAAAGCAACCCTGTTTACCTGGCTCCTTCAGAGAATCCACAGATATCTTCCACTCCTGCAAACATCAAAACTGAGTTTAGTTCCACTCCGAAACTCCCACAAAGTCCGGACATTGCCCATCAGAAAGATTCTCCATGTGAAATTTTCCATTTCCCTCCACGTCCATTATTTCAGTACATGAATATATATCCTCAGAGCATAATGTCGGAAAGACCTTACAGTCAAATGCCAGATTCTCGCATCTCAGACAGTATATTTTCCAGATTCCCTCCAACTGTAAACTATTCCGCATACAGCCCACCAACAGCATCCATGTCTTCCCCATCTGCACTTCAATCCTTTCAGTCCCTATCTGGTCAGTTTCCAGTATCCCCATTTTTCCGTGAAATGATGTCTCAGTTTTCATCCATTCCTCTCTGGCCAATGCTTCCTTTCCCTTTCCAGAGCCTTGACCATGCTTCTCCGATAATGACCCCGCTGCCACAACCTGACAACTCAGAAGGAACAGTTTTGAATCTGACAATGCCGAAGTCATCCAGTTCACAGGGAGCGCCAAGAGGGCATCGGAATCTGCCTTATCCTTTAAAGAAAAAAGATGGAAAAATGCTTTATGAATGCAACGTGTGTCTCAAGACATTTGGTCAACTATCAAATCTGAAAGTCCACATCAGAACACATACTGGAGAAAGACCCTTCGTGTGTCAAACCTGTGGGAAGGGATTTACCCAGCTTGCTCACCTACAGAAGCATAATTTAGTCCACACTGGGGAGAAACCACACAAGTGTGAGGTTTGTGACAAGAGGTTTAGCTCTACTAGTAATTTGAAAACACATATGAGATTGCATTCTGGCGAGAAACCGTTTCATTGCAGATCCTGCAGCGCCAAGTTTACCCAGTTCGTCCATTTGAAGCTTCACCGAAGACTGCATACCAACGACCGTCCGTTTGAATGCCCTCAGTGTAATCGAAAATATGTTAGTAGAAGTGGTCTGAAAACTCACTGGAAGACTGGTTCATGTGTCCCAATGAATCCAGCTGCTGACTTCCATACGTTGACTAACATGAGCTTTGACGATAATGACGAGGACAGAAGATTTGACTCTGAATCAATTACAGAATATAGAGAACAAATTACGAAAGACAAAACTGGCGGGAAAGACGATGTCTTTAATATCTTCTATCATCAGATTGGGCAAAGAAGCGCATTTGAACGTTGGAATCGTGCTTACCCTCACTTCAATGGATATGCAGCAGAAATATCCGCAGACACTTCCAATAATTCCACATTCTATGGCAGTCCTACTTTTCCCGAGCCTGTTGTAGCCGATGACTCTAGGAGGTCACCAGACACGCCAAGAGAAATATCAGAAAGCTACATGAACAAAATTAAAGCATCAACCCCTTCTGTCCCAGGGTCTCGTTCGCCAAGGACTTCTACACCAAGCGGAATCGAAACTCCTGTCTCTCCAGACAGATCTCAGGATTAGTTCGTCCAGAAAAATCTCAGGACTGGATCTTCATAGAGATCTCAGTTCTCCGGGAAGATCTCAGGAGTACTTGTCCATGCAGATGTCAGATAGATTAGATCTGAGGTTCAACTCTCCAGACTATGTCAGGATTAACTCTTCCAGTCTGAAAGATTCTAGACAGATGTTTATTTGGGAAAATAACTACAGTTAAAAATTATAAGTTAATATGTAAAGAAGATAATTTCACATTAGAGACATTAACCATATGAGCCAGATTTATTGAATGAATTGAACCCTGGCTAAATATAAACTGAAAGAGAATACACTACCGGGGTATATGGTCTATCGCTTATAAATTTTACGTATACTATCAACATATTTATTCTGAAATTAATAATCTTTGTTGACTCGGAGATGAGTTTATATGTTAGTATCTAGGTCATAGTCACAGCACATCGAATCATTCAGTCATTAAGTGCTCGGGTCAACTTCCCACTCTATCCGTCAGTGTGTTTAACTTCTTATTATATCCCTCAGTGTGTAATAACTGAAGACATTGGCTCTGTATTGTTAACTATTTTTCGGTCCCTAGTGGACACGGAAAAATAGTTAAATAATACAGAGCCAATGTCTTCGTCTGTGGCTTCTGGTTTGTCGTTTTCGCAGTCTGGTCAATGTTTTAGGCTCACGACCTTTACCTGATTAGTTTAACTAGCTTGCCTCTCTGCGGTCTTTCAGTGTATCAGTCCTGTAAACTTCCCGCCCGCTGTCGATAGTAGCCATATCCGCTTTGTTTCCTCTCTTATCCCCTTCGCTGGCACCCGTAATCAGGCTGTTTTATGATAGCTGTGACTTCTTCACAGGTTAGTTAGTAAGTGGACATATTATCAAATCTGCGTTTGTAACCGTTCAGTCCATAAGGGCTTGGATTCCTCTCCTCAGTAAGTTCCGCAGCGTGCAGCGGCTGACGAAAACCAAGCTCTATGCTGGTATTTTTATTCTTTTATGGCTTTCTGCATAGTGCTGTTGTCTTACCACACCTCTTTTAACATGCTGCTCTTGCATTCTAATCATGGGTGTAGATTCGCAGTCATCTTTTGGGTCTAGCAAACGTCTTATTTCTCGTAGTGCATTCCAACCTAGTCCATGGCTCGTCTGCCCTCCACAGTAACATTACCTTCAAGCTTGTCAGCTTGCTCATTATCGGGCACGCCTGGGTGCCGTCACGAATATGAAACTGATATTTGTGAGCTCCAACTGCCTCAGAGACTCAGATACAGTCTTCAAGCCCACCAATCTCTTACAGGTTTCAGCCATAAACTTCGAGTCCAACTCATCTTATCTTCCTGGAGATGTGCATGGTGTCACTGAGAAGATGTATTTACGTGAACATGTACCTTAGTTAATATCATTACCATATATTTGTAGTTAGGGCAATATCAACAGACTTCCCTCACAATTCTCTCTCCGATCGCAACAGTTAAAGCCTGAGAGATTGGCAAGTGTTCAACAATAGATTCATATATGTAGTTTTATTACCTTGAGGCAAGTTACCAAATATCGAGCTGTTAGGATTATATTTACCTCGCTAATCCCTTCCAGTTAACTGCTGTATTGAAAAGGAATGTTTCTAGCCTTTTTTCTCATGATATCCGTCTTTTAATCAGGGTGGGTTGATCTGGACACCGAAGATAGAATCGATTGATTTGAAATCACCCTATATCCATGAATTGTTTGTGTCATCTTTTATAGACTTCAGCAGCGGCAGCAGACATCAGACAGCTCTGCATTCAATCTTATTTAATTACAACGAAGTCAAAAATGTTGCTGTGGAAACACGGCCGATAATTTTCCTTCTTTGCATTTACCAGCTGTGAACTCTGGTGGAAAGTTCTGGTTGTACATCTACTTCTGGACTGCAGTCCTGTTCCAGAACCTGAGTTTTGCATGTGCATCCGTTTGACAGACCTGACATATTTGTTTGCAGACTACTGGTTCCTTGCCTCTCAGGCAGATGCACTCCGACTTTGAAGGAAGCTCCCAATTAGTCGACTCTTACAACATGCTTTTGGGTTGGCAGTGGGTCTATTCTTGTTTTCCCTACAACAGGGCCCCGGAACCCACACGGGGGACAGCATATAATGCTTCCCAACATCTTCCAAGGTAGACATACCGTCATCTGGGCCTGTATTGTACCCATTCTAGCGAAGCTTTGATCTCATCCACAGTTTTCCTAGGCACGACAATTACTTGAACAAACAGTTCCTGCAACTATGTGTCCTTTTGTTTCTGTCTGGTCTAGGTATTGAGCGCAGCCTAGCCTAAAACTTCAAAATAGCATCTACCATGGTTAACATCTACTTGTTGTAATGCATTGTTCCTGTTACTTGTGCTGACTATGTATTCTATGCCATCTTGATATCTTTGCTATGCAATTTATATGTTTATGTACGCGCCAATACATATACCAATAAAACATGCTGGTTTTTTACACCTAGTTACTGTCTGGCAATTAATGATGTCTTGGTCACTTAACTAACGCGAGTGTGAGACAGATCACAGCGTGTCTGTGTCATGAGATGAGATGTCACAAAAGAGATGTCAATTCTGACAGAATAGATACGCTAAGACATAATAATACAGGAGTTCTAGACGCAACACTGCACTGATCAGAAAAGGAGGGGGGGGAGAAAGAAAGAGAGAGAGAGAGAGAGAGAGAGAGAGAGAGAGAGAGAGAGAGAGAGAGAGAGAGAGAGAGAGAGACTAAAGTGTTTCGGTCATATAATGAGAATGTCACATGAAAAACTACATCTAGTAGTAGTAGGAGCAGCAGTATGCAGTATCGGCACCTTTCTTAAAAATAAATAATTTATGTTAGCTCCACTGTAAAAGATACTTTGATTTGAGTATCGGCACCTATTTTCTACACTTTGTGGTAAATACTGAGACTTTATTTACAGACAAAAAGCCCAGTGTTGTTGTTGTTACAGCAGCAGCTGTAGTAGTAGTAGTAGTAGTAGTAGTAGTAGTAGTAGTAGTAGTAGTAGTAGTAGTAGTAGTAGTAGTAGTAGCAGCAGCAGCAGAAGTAGTAGTAGTAGTAGCAGCAGAAGTAGTAGTAGTAGTAGTAGTAGTAGTAGTAGTAGTAGTAGTAGTAGTAGTAGTAGTAGTAGTAGTAGTAATAATAAAAATAGTAGTAGTCGTAGTAGTAGTAGTAGTAGTAGTAGTAGTAGTAGTAGTAGTAGTAGTAGTAGTAGTAGTAGTAGTAGTAGTAGTAGTAGTAGTAGTAGTAGTAGTAGTAGTAGTAGTAGTAATAGTAGCAGTAGTAGTAGTGGAGTAGTAGTAGAGGACCAACGGCTATAAAAGTATAACAGCAGCAGTTGTAGCAATAGCTAAAGTACCAGCAGTAGTGGGACCAGTAGAGTTTGTGTAAGCAGCAGCATCAATAGCAGCAGCTATAGAATAGTATAATTGTCTAATGTACCAGGAAAATAACAACCATGGTGAGTAGACGTAGTTATCACATACAGTCTCTGGTAATCTGTCCCGATTTCAAGGTCATTACCGTGTCGGCGGGAGATAAGTCCTGATTATGTCCCTGTCTGGGTCAGATAGGAGGCGATGTTTCTGTTACCTGCTTGTTTCTGCGTATGTGCTAGTTTCATCATCATCATCATCGCGTGTCAAGCTGATCAGTAACAGTGTGGGCTGGCATGGTACCTAGTCTCACACCATCACCATGAACCCATCAACCCACGCCAGTACTGGCACCTGAGTTTCCGGTGAGGTCTGCGTTCACGGGCAGTAATCACAAAAAAAGCCACCCCCTCTCGTTCGGAAGCGAGATTTCATGGCCGCTCACACGGGCTGTTATATCTTCTAAGGGCGTTATGAGGTGCCTTCCTTCCCCGTCATTATACACCATGGCTAAAACTGGCTGGCATTCGTTCGACCTGGTCGACACACCGTCTCCCAGAACTGCGCAACTTTCTTATCGCATTTGTCTTTTCTGTGAACGATTGTCGTTTCTTGAGAGTGTTATTGTTGCGACTAGGGCTCAGGCGCCGAAGGCGGCTATGTTTACAGGAAATTACTGCAAGGGGAAGCACCGAAGGCGTGACGCGTCATGAGTATCAAATCATGGATGTCTTTGTATATTTACAAATGTTGACTGTGCCTGTAAAAACGAGGAACAAATGACACTCATTGACTTTAGGGGTGTCCCGGGAAATCACATACGAAATCACTGAGATAAAGTGACTCTTGTGAGCTGTACTTGTTCAAGTCTCGATTATAAAATTCGTGAAGATGTCTGGATGAGAAGCCCAGTTGGTGTAATGGTTACAGCGATAGTCTGCGTCCACGCAATTCCGTATGACATAGGTTCGATTTACTCCCTAAAGGAAGCAGCCTGAATATCAGCATACATGTCCGGATACATATTTTAAGCTGGGCTGACAAGCCAATTGTAAATACCAACCCTCAGAGGGATTTATCTCTGTGACCAGTGTCCTAGAAGACGAGCTGCCAGTCAGTGTACTATCTTCTTCGTGTCCCTCTTTGTTTTTGTTTTTTCTTCTTCTTCTTTTTTCTTCTTCTTCTTCTTCTTTTTCTTCTTCTTCTTCTTCTTCTTCTTCTTCTTCTTCTTCTTCTTCTTCTTCTTCTTCTTCTTCTTCTTCTTCTTCTTCTTCTTCTTCTTCTTCTTCTTCTTCTTCTTCTTCTTCTTCTTCTTCTTCTTCTTCTTCTCCTCCTCCTCCTCATCCTATTCATCGCCCTCGTTGTCCCTCTCCTTCTACCCCTTATCTCATTATGAGTTTAAAAAAATTTATTTTATTTCTGTTAGCTCCAAAAGACAAAGGGAAAAAAAAACCAAAAAACAGCGGGGAGCTCAATTTGTGGCTTTCTCTCTCAAAATTTTCGGGGGGGGGGGGGGGGGGGGGGGGGGACAACAGGACTGCCTTTTTAAAACAATGCCCATTACTGCTTTTATTACACCACTTATGCGGTGTAGGCGGGTGTCT